CGCTGGACACAAGCTATTTACATCACCAGCATAAACATTTAGCCGGGATTTCGGCAGTAGGACCAGCGCCAGGGCCATATACATCCACATCTGCACATTTTCCATCTCAAACGAGGGAAAGAACGAGGCAACTCAACACAGCTACAGCAGGGCGTGCTGCTAAATGACCATGAGCGTTAAGGTACCGTTGACGGCTGGCTGCCCCTGAGGGCTGGAGTTCTGGACACCAAATGTTAAAATACATAAAGCAGTATTCATAAAACTTCAATATGATAAAATCCTGAGACGATAAATGAAGAAATGTTCTGAATTTAAAGGCGGATTCTTTAAATGTTTCTTGTCCAAGTACCATTTTTGCTATGGTTATAAATTCAGACATGCATAGTCCTTGGTAAATATGTCATGAAACTAGTTTATAAAGAGATATAAAAATTGCGAATTTGCAGCAGCTTCTCACCCAAACACCTACACAACCTCTGTAGGGACCCACCTCAAAATCTTGGCTCAGGTCCATCTCAGAAAATGAGCCTCAGATGCCTTGAGGAGGCAGGAAGGAATGAGTGCTACCAATCACTGGTCAGGATTCGCTCATTTCCTGTAAGCTAGCCAATGGCGGCTGAGAACACATGGTCATCCAACCAGTTACTGACTGACAGGGACATGCGTGTCTGTCAGCCTTCCTTAGAACCGATACGAACCCTCTGTCGTCTACAGCCGGGATGTTCCACACACCACGCCCCCACCAACCCCCTCAGTGACAGAGCATCTCCTTGCACGTTCCACGCCATGGCCACGCGTCCCCAGTGTTGTAGTGAGCTAGCCAGCCTACAATAAGCTCCACCCCCAAGGAAAAGCCAACTGTTTGCTCAATAAAGTTACCATTCCCATGACCTCAACTGCACTCCCAAGCTCTCTGGATGAACGCCAGACCATCCCAAAGGAGTCTCTCTATTCCCTACACCGTGACAAGGATCCACAATTACAAAGCAGCTAACTGGACCATTAAATGGGGATTGTGCTGAAATCCGATAGCTGGAGATTCACACAGTATTCCCGGCACGCATTAGGGGAAAAAAAAAAAAATTCTCACTCTTTTTTTTAGGCTCCGAAGTCAAACACAAAACAGAGAATGTCGAAAGCGGAAAGAGGCGTTTTTACTTCAATGAACGTAAACTTGACAATGCGGCACGGCAAAGGACGTCATCAGGCAGAAGAGAATCAGGAAGACATCCAGGGGATACTGATGTGGGGGTCGGCAAATCACGCTGGGGATTCACAGAGCACGCACCCTCTGCTACCTACAGACATTTTCCATAGAATATTCCGGAACGGAAATGCCTTGCACCAGAAATTTCCCAAAACAAAAGTTTTCTTTGGATATGTAGGAAAGTCTGTGTTTATGAAGAAAACATTTCCCTTTTTTGGGGTGGAATTCCCCTTTAAGTCTCTCTCATACTTCGCATTGTGCTAGTAACTGCTCAGCTAACCGTTAACCAACCCTATGATTGTTACACCCCTTGTGATTTAAGGCCCTACAAACTATACATTATGGTGGAGGGCCAATGAATACTTAGCTAGATACACACTATACACCCCAGCTAACATTTTTAAATCATTACCAGTGTGCACACAGAGGCGGACAGACCCCCATCACTGCAGCATCTGGATATCCCATGATCATCCAGTGCAACTGTAACACACTGACCTTAATACAGCTTTTCAAACCAGCAGAGCGTTAAGACATGCCACACACGGAAACGCAAACATGATCTGTTAAAGTACCAGGGGTGAAACGCTGCTGATTTACAGGGTTTAAGGATCTCGGGGTCCAGAATCCGCTTACCTGTGCGGGCAACCCGACAGCAAGGGCAGGTTGGGCGAGAATCCCATCCTGTGCTGGATGCAGCGCGCCACTGCACTACCGCTGGTCTGCGTTCTGCAAAGTCCAGATCCACCGCATCCCACACACTTCTAACGTCTCAAACAAAGCAGCTTTAGCTGAAGAGCTGCTCACCCCAGCTGGATCAGATCTCTTTCGGAATGCCACAACTTACGTTACCCTTTTATTTTTACAATATGGTTTTGGAGGGGGAAAAAAAACATCCCCACAATGTATTTCTGACTTACTTTGCAGTGTTTATGCAGAAAGATGGGCAGAATTGCCCTTTGCTAAGGAATTTTCCATATTCTGATGGGATTCTGCATTCTCTCCAGCACCCAATCTATTTCTGGCACACGTTTATTTTCGAAATTTAAATAAAGCATTGGGGGGGGAGGGGGGGCGAAAAGCTTTTCCAAGACCATAACACCTAAGCAGACCAGAAAACAGAACATACACAGCATACAGCAGCACTGGAAGCTGTACCTACGGAGGAGGAGAGAATAGTGCGCACATCACTGCAGGTGACAGTGCGGATTGAGCTAGAGGCAGACAGACAGACAGGTGACAGTGCAGACTGAGCTTACATGAGGGGACAGAGCGTACATCACTGCAGTTAACAGTGTGTACTGAGCTAGAGAGGACTGTGTGTCCTGAACTAGAGAGTACAGTGCATACATCACTGTGGGTAATTGCATACCAAGCTAGAGAGGAGAATGCATACATTACTACGAGTGACAAAGCATACCAAGCTAGAGAAGACAGTGCATACAGAGCTAGAGAGGCTGGCGTGTACATCAATGCAGGCGACAGTGCATACTGAGGGAGGACAGTGTGTATCGAGTTAAAGAGGACAGTGCATACATCACTGAAGGTGACGATGTATACCGAGCCACAGAGGGCAGTGCATACTAAACTAAAGAGGACACTTTGTACATCACTGAAGGTGACAGTGCATGCCGAGCTAGAGAGGGCAGTGTGTATGTAAATGCAGGTCAGTCTGTGTAACGGGCCAGAGAGGACAGTGTGTACTTCACTGCGGGTGACACTGCATACTAAGCCAGAGAGGACAGTATGCATATAAATGCAGGTCAGTCTGTGTAACGGGCCAGAGAGGACAGTGTGTACATCACTGCGGGTGACACTGCATACTGACCCAGAGAGGACACTGTGCGTGTAAATAAGGTCAGCGTGTGTACTGAGCTAGTAAGGACAGCTACGGACACAGAGTATATGCACAGTAGGCAAATTTCCACAGAACCTACGAGACAGAATAAGACGCATCCAAAAATGAGGGCAGCCTCAGCCATCACGCGTGTTGTTAGGGAAACTAACTGTGCTTTTCCCTCTGGCAGACAGGCACAGCCACCCAGCTGACAGCCAAACACACTCAAATGGGCTCCACTAACGAGTTCAACATGGCTGTCAAGTTACGCGGCTACTCCCACGTGACAGTGTGGGAGGGAGACCAGGAGAGGCCATGACAGCACACTGGGTGGGGGGCGGAGGCAACGTCACTGCTCTCTAACCGGAGGATCGGCCATTCCGAGCAAACTGGCAGTGCGGAATCAGGCTCTCCTCAGGAAATCTGGGACCGATTCCCATCATGAGCCTGCAGAAGATAATGATCGCCGCTCAGTGGCGCCACCTGTCCAGCACGTACCCGCCTGTGCTAGAACAGCAATTACTTTGGGTTTCCTTGCCTGGGATCAGTGGCATAGATTAAAGCTCCATCCGATCCTGAGAACATCGAACCTGACACCTGCAGTTTTCTCCAACGCTGGTAACAGTAGCCGCAAGGCCATAAAAATGGACAGAAATAAAGAACGCCACCAAACATCCCACTGAACATCCAAAGCACACAGTGCTCTTCGAACTGGAGAGTCAGTTTTAAGCCCCCTGCACAGTATCTACCTTTTTGTGTTTCAAATCCTCAACTTCCCATAATTCCTCAGTGGTAAAAAAACAGTAAACTGTAGGCCTGAGCACAGAGAAATGCTTGTGGGGAAGTGTAGCAAACTGAACCACACCCCGGGAACTCAATATTGCAGATTGGAAAAATTAAGGCTCATTTGCTGTGAAGTAATCACACATGGGTGGGGAGGTTACATGGCAGCCTGAAGGCGGCCCAGTCAGACGCCAATCGCAGAGGCGTTGGGGCATGACCGAGTGTCTCCAGCTCTTAGGTGGCCAGGATTTGGGCTGTAACCAGTAGGCAGGACAGGATTTGGAGGGCAGGATACTGGGTCAGGGGCTCTGTCATTATCTTAGACTTTGAAATGAAGGGTAGAGAAGAATCTATGGTATATTATACAAGGTATAAACTGCCGTTTTCCAACGCGGCTTAAATGACTTGCGGTAAGTAATGGACAATAATATTGATAATATTTTGATGCTATATATATATATATATATTTTGACCTCCTGACAAACTATCACAATTAGACATAGTCCTATTTTCATGCTGCGGTTTTTAGACTAAATGCTTATTCATCTGCCTCTTCTCTTAAAATTCACCTACTAATCTAATATTCTGCTTATATCCATCATTGTCACCAATTTCTCTATCATATCTGTAAACAATACTAAATAACAAAAATAGCACCAATGTATCATCGTGACAATGATCAATGTTTCAAAATAACGCCTATGAATGACTGAACCCATGAAGCGTATATAACGCTATAATGTGCCAACAACAATGACCTTAACCAACAAGTACTACAGCATTTTTATGGTTTAATAGCCCAGGACAACGACCACCAAAGAGATGACAGGCTCCCTGGATGACAGTGACAGACACCATGGTTGCAAGGAAGCCCTTCAGATAGCCTGAGAACCTCAGACGGCTTAAAAATAACGGCATAGGAAAATAACTTCAGAACAAATGAATGTGCTTCTGTTCCAATCCTGTCAGTGGACAACTTTTCCATAAAGTGTGTGTCCCCGAGCCGATGGGAGAGACACAGATGACCCGGACGAGCGAACCAGGCTGTTTCAGAGACTAGAATGAACCGGCTCCATGATTAGGAACTTCCCTCTCGTTTGAGGATGGGCCCTTCAAGCAAAAGTCTGCAACACTGCCCCAAATTGGGCAAACTGCACATCAGATGCTCTGCTCTGAACTTTACCACACCAAAGACAGACGGGATGCAGACAACCCGGGCAGATTACCTTCATGCAGGGCTCGCTCAATGCTCTCCGTGCTGGACTGTGAGTGGCCCAGAGCAGCTCTCTTCCTGGTCCACAGAAAGCCCCTCTTCCCGCCCTCAAGGGCACGGGGGCTGGGCGCGAGGCTGGCATCCCTGGCGGAGAATATTCCTCCGAAGATGCGCGTCAGCCAGCGCTCCTGGTTGCTGGCACCAGCACTGCCCCTCAGGAAGCTCTCCTTCTCCTCCAGGCTCTTCTCGGACAGCCTCTGCAGGTCACTGTTGTCCAGAGTCCGGTTCTTAATCTGAGCCAGGTCCCGCCTGCTCCACTGCGTGCCAGCGCCCACCTGGCCCAGCGCTTCCCCAGGGTCCGCGGAGCTCACGCCGTCTCTGCACGCAGCCTCATCAAAGGCTGGATTCTGCAACACGACGTCCCCGGAGGATTTACCGGTGACCCCCAGGCAGCTGGAGCTGCGATGGTGGGCCTGCTTAGAAAGCACATGCTGGCGGAGGACCTCCCCCCCACTCCAGTGCCGGAAACTCAAGCTCCGTCGAAGCAGGCCGGGGGCTCTCTTCACTGGGGGGGTTGGGGTCTTGTCTGAGTTCACGCCCCCTTTCGACTGAGACAACGGGGAGCTCACAGAGGCAGAAGACACCAAGACCTGGTCGGAACTGTTCAAGCGCTGGTCGGAGCAGTGCAAGTCCACTGGGCACGTCTGCGACTCGGTCAAACCCATCCCAGTCACGCCAATATCCCTGCCACCCCCCCGCCCAGAGGACTCGGATGCGGCATCGGTGCTCTGCTTGGCCATGAGGCCTCCCGAAAGAGCAGGGTCTATCGATTTGAGGGAGAGAGGTGTCTTCCTGGAAAATTTAAACCTCCTCATTTCCAGCCGTCCCGTACTGAAGGTCCTGAACGTCCTCATGCTGTTCTGCGATGGAAAGTCGTCCGTTTCCTCCGCAACCTCCTTAAGCTCCTCGAGCAGGAAGCTCCCGTGGCCCTCCGTGGAGCTGTCCCTCTGACCGGCGGCCGTCTGGGGCTCGCCTGGGCCCAGGAGCGCCGGGGTGCCCCCTCCGTCACCAGCTGCCGATATGTTCTCTCTTTTCACCAAAGTGAGGGAGATCCGGTATACAGTCTTCCTCTGTGGCGTGCCCCTCTCCATGCTATCGGAGGAGTCACCGTTCAAAATGTGCATTCTTTAAAGGACCAAAGTGGCAAGAACAAAGAGCAAAAAATGGACATTTAGATTAACTTAAGCATGACCAAGGTCAGGAATGCATGAAGGTAATTAGCTGTCCGGTTTTATTTGTATTTTATCAACTAACAATAAGGTAACGAACCCCATGCATTGTAAAATGCAGCGCGGTCGTGCGTCCCCACCGGAAAAGCAGGCGAGGTGTCCTCAGCCCAGGTGAGTCGATGCACTTCAGCAAAATCAAGCAACGCTTTAAATGGGTCTGTGCCGCTCCTGTGGCGGGCGGCGGACGGCGGCTCTTACGGCACCGGCGATCACAGAGACGGGGCAGGGAGTCCGGGACCGGCGCTCCGCTCCATGCGGATCATCTCGGCAAAAACACTCCAGAAGCGCAACCTTCATCGGCTGTGACCGAGCTCCCGCATCGCATCCTCCACCCAGAAATGCCGGAAAACGCACTTTTTGTTCGCCTCTGTTTCGAGATTTTCCTTAGGAGGCGGGATGGATCCGGCGCAGGTCGCGGCAGAGCCGGCAGCTCCTCGCCGGCTCTTTCACACGTCGGCCGGCGGTCGCACCTCCTCCGGACTCCCTCCGCAGATCCGCGTTCAGAAGACAAACCAGCCCAGCCCAGCGGAGCCCAGCCCAGCACGGTAGACTGGCAACAAAACACGGAGCAGATTTCCGGGAGGATCACGGATAAGAGCCGCGCTTGGCGGCGTGCCCTCAGCCGCCTGCAGGCTTCCTGCTCTTCGGAGCAACCAGAAGGACAATGACGGGAGCAGACAAGAAGCCCAAATTACATATTTATTACGAGCCGGCTTGCAAAACGTCCCCCACCCCCGTCTCCGTTTGGATTTATAATCATCGTGTCGGGTGGGGTTGGGGCTTCAGTCTGCATTAACATCGCACTGTATTTTATACCATTTCTTCCCAGTGTGTAGTCCCTCCGAGAGGGGGGAGCAATGCGAAAAATACACGATGGGTGCGGAGTTATGCCAAATTATCCAGGATGTAAGATCCGCGGATAAGGACACGCTGCAGCCGCAATTTGCGGCTATTTGTAAAAGAGCGGAGCGCAAACCAGCGCCGCGCCTATTAACCTGCGCATTAACGTAACAGTGAGGGGCTGACAAAGTAACGCAGGGGTGGAGAGGGGAGCCGGGGGACGAGCCATCGCTCACTTCTGTCATGACTATAATCCACCCCCCCTACACATCTTTCCCCAATAGACAGGTTACGATCTTTGTTCCAAAGGTCCGATAGCAGAGACCCACTTGGGACTGAAATCATCCTGCGGTACAGAGCACGTATTACACATGCGAATGGAAAAGATGATACGAACCGTGTTCTCTTACTAGAATCTGCATTATTTTTCACCGTTATATTGAAAATATCAGTTTCTACTAAAATAATACATGCTATCCCATACAACAGATACCTGTACTTAGATGCACAAACGATATGTTCAAAGTCCATATTCCACGCCTGGGCGACACGCACATTTTTGCTATAGGTTATTATAGCTCATTAAGACTCGTTTATTTTCCTTCATTAAAACAGCCAATAGCGTGAATATTTTGACAGTAAGGTGACACATTGACATCGACTTTTTTGTAATCCAGCTACAGTGAATAGACGAACAAAGGGACCGTTTAGCAAACTTAAACAGATCATCCCTAACACAAGGACGGTACATGTTATCAAACGCCATGAAACACGGACGGGGGGGGGGGCGCGTCTCTCCCCGCACAGAACACATCCATCAGACTCAGCCCGTCATTACCACCAGCAGCAGCGTCTCACCCGCAACGTGAATAATAATTCATCAAAGAAAAAGCCGATCCAATTAGTTACAACCATTAAGACAAAAAAAGAAGAGACAGAGTTGACAAAATATCCTAATTTACCCCCTTATGTAAGCAAGCAGAAAGCATCTTTATTTTCCTTAGTCTGCAAAATGGCACAAAAATTTAAGCAAATGCATCGAATTTGCAAGCAGGGCCGCGGATACTGATTTATGGGCTTTGGGGAGCGTTACCTGGTGCCGCTTTCTAAATCCAGATTTACGTATATATCACATGGGGGGATAAAATTGCCAATACAATTTTCCCTTAATAATTTTGTGAGATTGTAAGTGATGATTTACTATAAAGAGAGTTATCAAGGGTCTGTGTATATTTATATATGTTTATTTTTTGCGTTTCGAAATGCTTGACATTTATTTAATTTTGGACTTGTTAAAATTGTGTATTCTTAATGTCTCCCCCACCCGACAGAGCAAGCCACAAGAATTAAGCTCCATTTCAGCAGTGAATTTTTAAATAAATTCAATTCAGGCACCATCAATGACAACCCTTCTTGTTCCTTATCTCCAAAAGGACCCTGGAACCGCCTCTAAGCGAACTCTGACCCCTGACCTCCGGGTCACTGGCTCTATCCACCAGGAGAGCAAGACTGACAGGAGCTGGGGAATGGAGATAACACCTTCTGCCTTTTTTTTTTTTTTTTTTTAGGGGGGGGTGACCACTCATGACTGATTGGAAACCCATTTACCAAAGATAAGCAGCCTTCTGTTGGTGAATGGGGCCAAGTGGAGGGCTCTGATTGTTGCAGAAAGGGCATCACACTTATGAGGGACGTACAAAACAGGCATCTGGATGGATCTACTGCACCTGCAGAGGCTGGAAATAAATGGGTCCTTACAGGGACCTCTGAGGAACACCTGCACCATCTCCACTCACCAGACTGGAGGCACCTCAGCCATTCTCCTCAGGCTACGTAGAGACACCTTAGTAAGAATCAGCTGCTGGCTATTTGAGATCTGGACTTAAGCTTCATCTTATTTGTTTGGTCCCTCTGTACAGTTTGGTCATGATTACCCTCCTGCTGGGGTGGTTTGCATACAAACTGGTTCTTCTCCAGTACTCTCTAGTACTTCCCAGTTATGTTGCTACATTGTTCCGCTTTTTCACTCTGCTGCTGTTATGCACACCCTCAGATTACTCTAGCAGCTCCATCACGAAGGGGCTTGTGAATTATGGACTGGCTGCTCCGGTCTTGCCGACAGACCTCATTCGGAGTCTTCGGTGCCCTCACACTGACATATCTAACAGGAACATTTCATCTGGACTGCATCCGGCTGTTCGATTCACACAAAAACAGTCTCCTTCCAGTCGTCTGGCTTTTCCAGAATTATTCCAGCCTGTTTTCCTTGAAGTTCACAATCTGCTTTTGTCAAAATTCTTATGGATAATGCATGGTGATAGTGAGGGGGCGGGTGGGCACTTAATAATTCCCTTTTTTACACTGTTCCACTAGTATAAAATGAATTCACTTCATATTGTTGGGGGAGGGAATGCCTTCCCCTGTGTGGACATAAATCTACACTCAAGCCGAAAGTACAAGAAGCACCAACTAAGGAATGGAAAATGGTTACAACTAACTGCACGCTCATTAATTTAGCCAGGCTGGATTAGTTCAGGTTTAACACAGCAAATTCTACAGGGACTGAACAAAGCCATAATCAGGGTTCCAGCCAACTACAAACCAACAGGCTGAGGTGTCATAAAAATAATTTGCAGCACTACAGACACGCTGATAAAAAGCTAATTCTACTCCTGATTCACTGTTCAATCTCATATTCACACGAATCGCCGCCTGGATATATTTTATTATCCTCAGCAACCTGTGTTTGATAAAAACTGTCAACAATAAAACAATAAATTACATTAGGCTTTGATACATGCATTTCAAAGAGTAAAATTTATAAGACCATTATATGCTTTCATGGATTAAAAACGAAACGGTCAAGAAAATATAGTGGTTGTATCTTTGTCAGAAGATGGGTAACAAAGGACCAGAAATTTCCAGATACTGCTTCACCACCAGTATACATGACTGTAGCAAACAATGGACAGAGACTAGATGCTCCACTAAAACAAGTATATACTATGGGAAGGACAGAACAAATGGGGAAGGAATTTGAGGGACAATGATAATGCCCCCCCCAATCAGACCACAAAAACGTCATCAAATTATCTTCCACCTGGATTTTATTCTGTAAAGCAGAACGCTATCCTGTCCATGACAGAAGCAAGACTTCTGGCTGTCACCACCACTGCCTCTGAGGAAGATCTCCTTCCCCTCCAGGCTCAAGCAAGGCTGGGCCTCCAAAAACAACGAGAGCTCTTCCTGGAACAATACGTGGAACTTTAGCTACATAATCTCATACGCTCCTCTACAGTTTTGGGATTGCCAATGATGTGAAAGATGAAGCAGGTGGAGTCGCCAAATGCCGCGTTTACGTGCGTGTCCAAAGACGGACATCGGCGACGGGAGACGTGTGGTGGCCGTCCCCAAAGATTTGAAGGCGGCAAAACAGGAATTACAGGATCCGCAAAGTCACCTCAAAAATTCCAAGCCTGACACGAGAAAGATTCCTACTTTTGCGGTCAACCCGATAAAACGGTGATCTCACACTCCACAGCACCTCAAGCGAACTCGCAAAAGCCCTACAGACACTGATCCTCTCTCTCCATTTACCCAGGCAAAGGTTAAGGGAAGCATTAACCGAGACAGGCAGAGGGATGCAGAAAATCCAGACCAGGTAAACAAAAATCGGGAAAAAAGGATCGTATTTACAAACCCGTCATGATTCTACAGGTCAGACTTACGGCATGCTGTTTATGCAACAGCACAATTACACGATGGAAATGGACTATGTATTAAATCTCATTTTTTATATGCATGATTCGCATGGGGTAAAAGGCAATACTAAAATCGACGAAGGTGGGGGGGGGGATGGGGGGCCGCACAGTACTCATAAATCATCCCAGGGAAATGAGGCATGGTGGGACACCCTGAGCTCTGAGGGATCACTCAGGATTTCATTCAGATGTTAAGTGTAACTGTGTGTTATGTAACACCAGCAGTAGTCGGGGGGGGGGGGGGGGGGGGCACACCTGCACACTTGACTCTTCCTGGAAATCAGGGAAAAAAATGTACTGTTTGGGAAAAAGTAAAACATTTTTTTGCAAACAAACAGACCCGTGAGGTTCTTCAGGTTTTAGGACTACAAAGATTACATAGTTAAAAAAATAAAATAAAATACTGCACTTTCCCCCCCCTCCTGTACAAACCAAACCACAATCCCAAAAGAGAAAATGACACCAAAGTGTGGAGTCGGTGGATAGTTTTAACCCCATGGCGTATGTGAAGGGCATGACTCCTTCAAGTCAGGAGCTTTTCAAGCGATGTGAGTGCAGACAGCGCCCCCTACAGGACAACACTGTGTACTGACAGAAATGCTGATGCTTACAAATAAACAGGAAGAAAAAAAGGGCGTGATACTGGTCTTCAGCCAAGTGGGCAGATTGGGAGAAAGGGGCAGCATGCTGAAGATATATAAAAAATTTAATGCAGTGGTCTCATAGCACGCTTGGTCTGCATGAACAGACCTTCAGGAGGTCAGAATATGTGTGTTTGTAGTCTTGTGCTCCTGTACAGGAATTCTGGTCAATGGTTATTACGCTGCCAAATGACCATGAACACAGGACCCAGTTGAATTACTGAATTCTTTTCATCCTAT